ACTTATTTAAAGTTTTCTTAATTTCTAAAAATATTTTAAATATTTTAATCCTAAAGGTTTTTCTTATTTTTAAGATAATCCCTTATAATAGGTTTAAATCAATCCTTAATATCTCTTTAAATTAATAATACAGTAAATAATAGCTTCTTAATTAGGCTATCTAGCCTATTTAAAAACAGTTAAAAGTAATCTTTTATTTAGATAAAGAATAGAATTATATTACTTATTTATCCCTTAAAGAGTTCTAATTTAAGCAGCTTAAATACTTCTTTAAGGTCCTTTTTATAGTATTTATAATTACCTCTTTTATTATTAGCAATATTTTATATATTTACTTATACTTATAGTATATTAATAGTATTATAAAGCTATTAAACTTTAGCTGCTATTTTAGTATTATTAAGTAATACTTTAATATAAAGAGATATTAAGGTATTAGTATTATTAAATATCTTAACAGTATAATATTACTTAATATAATATAATATATACTAAATAAAAGCTATTAATATATAATAGTTATAGGTTTTAAATAGGAAAACTAATCTATATTAAGTTTATATTTATAGAAATATAAGGCATATATATTAAGCTTAACTTTAGATATTATATCTCTTAATAATTAAGTAATATAAGTTAGGCTTATTAATATAAAGAAGTCTTATTAATAGCTAGTAAGTTAAATTCTATTTAAGTATTAATAAATATAATCTATATACTAATAGTAATTATAATTTAGTAATTATAATTACTATATAATTACCTTTAATTACTAGTAAGTACTTTAATTATTAAGTGACTGTAGATAATTACTGTAATTATATAGTAAGTATATATAACTAAATTGCTTATTAGTTAAGAAAATATAGGGGGCATATAATATAAGCGCTTTTCCAAGTTTAATCGTAATACATTAAAAGATTTAATTAATTGCTTAAAATAGGGCTAATGCCTATTATAGTAATAGCAGGCCTTTATTAATAATATTATATTAAGTAGCAGTAATAGTTAATACTGGCTATAGTTTATAAAGTTAAAATATATAGTTATAATAGTTAAATAAGGGATATAAATATTATATTATAGGAATTAAGGGCTATTATAAAGTAAAGGAGGGAAAGTAAAAGAGAAAAGAGAGGAAAAAAGGCAAATTAGGAAATAAAGGCTTTAGCATTAAGGGAAAAACTGTAAATATTAGCAGACTAAAGCTGGCTTAGGGGGTTAATAATAGATTAAATTAGGTTATAAAATAATATAGTATAAGGAATATAAGTTAAGGAAAAATATAGATAAGTAATACTTAAGAAATATACTATATAATTATATATCTTTTTATTAATTCTTAAACTATTATAATTTTAAAAAATACTATTTCTTTTTAAAAAAAGATAAATAGCTCTATTTACTATTATAAGAAGTAATTATATATATATATCCTATAAAATATTAATTTTACCAAGTCTTGAATTTGTTTTTTAAGTATAGTGATTATGATAAATTAATACTGTTATATAAAAATGGAATGGAGTATACCTGTTATTACTTAGTTTGCTCGAAAGAGAGTACTTACACTTATATATAAGTCGTTAGACAACGAGATTACATACAACGGAAATTATAGATACTCTACAGAGTAGCGATATATGTAGTTGAGCATCAGTTGGCATCTACTAACTGATCTCTCTATTAACCAACAGTCGTAAAGAATATCGGCGAGACTTTATTATTTTATAGGGGTTCTTGTATCACATCAATCCGGGCACCAGCTTGGCGACGAATATATTCTCTTTCTTCAGTAGTTGATTCCTTTACCTCAGAAGGTAGAACAGGCCATTCAATCGTTCGCAGCTAGTAGTTGGTGTCGTAGAAACATAAAGGCTTTACATCTTTTACAACCAGCTCAGTACCTCTAGCAGACTGGGAGCAGGCCTGCTTAGTCTAAACTCAGAAATCTGATAGCGCGGGCCCGTAGAGCTAGTTATTCCCTCCATCTTCTCATGTCTACAAACCTTGAAAGCGACTCATACTTGGTATAATTATATAAAAACTCTAAAGTTGGTCATTTCCCTACTCTATCTAGTGCCTGCTCCGCTCCTACACCGATTCCCAAAAGCAAGTCCTCTGTATGCTCGAGTTTTGGTAGCGAAGATCTAATACCTGAGATCTCTCTACACACAAGGCTGATAGACCACCGCTTGTCCACATCTACAACAAGCATTCTATCTTGGATCAGTTCTAGCATCTTGAGAACAAAGTCCGAGCCGCGCGGACTATCTCTTAGATCGGCGATCCACTTAAGCCACCTAAGTCAGCAGCATTCAAGAGAACAGCATTTGGTATCGATCCTTACTGTTGTAACTGCTGGTTTAAGTTGAGCGCTCTTCTTTCCATCCTTTTCGGTTTTGATGATGAAGTAGTTGTCATGAGCGAAATTAGAAATATCCGATTCGTGCTGGTCTGCCAGCTCCGATTCAAACTCCATCACCGCATTATTTCCTTTGACATACCAAATACAAAACTCGAGAAAGACGCATCCGAGCGACCAGATATCGTACTTTTGAGAGATTGGTTGGTTTAGTTCAAGCTCTGGAGCGGCATAGGCACTAGTATATCCGTCGATACGTGGCACAAGCGACTTTGTGTGAAAAGAGTGATATCTAGTGAGGCCCAGGTCAGATATAACAAGGACGTTATCGTCGCCTTTGTATTTTTTGAACCATAGGATGTTGCTTGGTTTGATATCGCCGTGTCGTCCCCACTCTTTTATTTTGTCGGTAACATCGTTTGGTGATGATGATCTCCTCTGGATCTGCCCAGTTGTTAGACCATGTATACGCCTGACTGCATTTGCCACCCCGAAGCACTGGTTGGCTGCCCATCTTTGGATTGTCGAGCCAGATGGGTCCTTGTACGGAACCTCCTCCCAGAGATTGAGCAGATTACCATCGGCCCACTCAAAAAGAAGGTAGAGTCGCTCTCCATGTTGCAAAGCAAGTAACAGTCTAATCAAATGCTTGTCCTGTGTGATTTGAGCACGGGACCTCTGAAGAGCTTTTAGTTCCTCACGATAGGCTTGCCTATCAATCCAATCAATCTTCTTGAGAGCAAAAAATGTCATCTCATGTGAGTCCTTATTGCAAGGCATTAGCCCTGTATGATAACCTGGGCTACAAAACTTTACCTGAGATCCACTTCTAAAGTTATGGTGACCAGGGTGTATCTGAAGCTTGTAAACGGTTCCACTACCGCCAGTGAATTTGTGTTCAAGCACCTGCCAGGGTAGTCTGACATCAGCTGCCAAAGCATAGAAGCATAGACTGTTGTGCTGAAAGTCGAAGAACGGTATGCAGAACATCTTCTGGTAGATGTAAAATAGATCAACATCTGTCCGTGCCCACCCTTTGAATAGAGATGTGTTGATTGTGTTTGTCTTTTGGGATTCAAAAGATCGTTGACTTTTCGTTGAAGGCTTCAGCGGCAGGTTGCTATCGTATATACCAGCTCGAATGAAGTTGGCAAGGTATTTCCTCCTGTTCATAAAAGTTAGAATCCCAAAAAGTCGCCTTCGAGATGGTCCTGTTCGTTTCTCGAGAATATGATCTAGTATTCTGATCACCTGAGTTATGGCAACACCATGAAATGCGTCAAGTACAAGAAGTAAGATACACTCCGGGGTAAATATACTCTCGAAGGCATCAATTGGCAAATACTCCTCCCCATCTGTGCAATTACGCTGTAGGCTACCTTCAATCCTCCACTGGATTGACATGATGAAAGGAATGCCCGCTAGGTTGCGAAGCCATAGTTGATGATGCACCTCATCCCAGCCTCCTACTTTTTCAATGAGCTTGAGGTAGTCCAGATTGTGGAAATGAGAATCGTTGAAGTGGTTTGTCGCTGCGGCAAGACCCCAATCACTGACTGACGTAACATCATCTGCATCAGAAGCCACAAATTGCGTTCTTTGCGAGGAGCTTTCGTCAATCGGTTTCGTCTTTTTATCCGAGTCTGATCGTGTAAACTCTATAGTTGGAAGTTTCCAAGCAGCATCGAGAGGCTTTTGGATTCGGATACTAAGATGGTCTGGTGCCTGCGGAATGCTTGTTGGCGCCCGCCAGCTTGCCGCAGATCCCATTATTGGCTCCGCCCTAGCCACCCATACAGCTCGGCTGTTGATCCGCAAGACAGCCGTGTATGTGTTCGATATGGGTATATTAAGGATAAAAGCCTTTCTGGGGAAAGATCTGAGTCTTGAAACTTGATGAGAATGTCATTGGAAATGGCCAGGTTCCAGTAATGTCGGTCACAGCCACCAGAGTGAGTTTTCATAATCGCTTCAATTTGCAAATTGTCTCAGATCCCATACTAAATTCAACATCCCATAATAGAACTAAGACTCTGAAATTCAATAGTTTGATACTGACCAATCCAAGGGTCCGATATTGTGCAAGGGCACACACTTTCTCAATTTCATGCATCAGCTGAACTCGAGACCACCAATGAGAAGTCAGTCGCCCCCACGAAGAGAACGAGGCTGGCGGCTATTTCACTCCCATTAAAAAAACGCAGAATGTTGATCCAGTTGAAATTCAAGGGTGTGAATAAATCACGCATTTCCTTTCAGCTTGAAGTACTGCCATAAAAAAAACAAGGTTGAAATTACGGCCCAGGGAAAAATGAGTTGTTTGGGAAAGCACTATCACCAAGCCACTACAACTACATCTAAATGTGATTCTCGGTAGGGGAGGCCTCCGCTCTTGGCGAAATGATTTGCCATCGGAGTAGGGGGCCTCACATGCGGGGGCGATTTTGCGAGATAAGTGCACCCGGTGCAGTTTTCAATCCCCCTGCTCCCCCTCTTGTCAGCCGCCACGAGTCATCGACATGGCTGCCTAATCACCTAGATATTTTCAACTGTGTTCTTAAGAACTCTGAAGTCCGGAGTCTTCACATTTTCCTCCAAGCTGCCATATTGCTTTCGCTGCTTTATACATGTATCAATGGCAATATCTCGATTGACACCGGTCAGGGAGGATTCTAACGTTAAGGTTCTGACCGAAACCCCCGATCGCATACATCCTCGAGACTTGTCCAACTCTCTATCCTACCTTTACGGCGAGAAGCGTTTCAAAATTTCCTTACAGCGGAATATCTACCTCATATATATCTATTGCCAAGCAGAAGAACATGGGCTTGTAAGTCATTTATTCACATATCACGACGAAATTATGTTTAGTGCAATCTATGTGAGAACTAATACAGAACCTCAGATCTCAAACTCGGGTCAAGGACATGATTTAAAACAAAGAATTCAGGATTTCAAACTAGCTCAGCAGAAGCTAAAAGAGGCTAGTTTATACAGGATATAAGAGAAGGGTAGGAGGCTGTACCAATAACGAGCTATATAAAAGAATCAATCTGTGATATCTGCCTCATATTGATCTGGCGAGCAGATAAATGTAAAAGCTTATAACAATAAATTTCAATATCTTGTTTATACAAGTTAATTTAATAGATATCAACCCACAATCCCTCGCCATCTACACTTGTTGGCCTCAGCGACATGACCCCCACCCTCTTATACTTATTCTCCTCAGGAGCACCAAAGACAGTTATGAGAAGCACATGAATTCTTCCGCCGCCGATCTTATCAGATCCAATCGTTACGCACTTCACCTTGTCGAGGTCGAACTTTTCATCATCAAAGACAATGTGCTCTGACAGACTGGTATCATCTGTTTTAATGGATTTTGCCTTTGCTTTGAGGACATGGCTGCATTTTGGAGTCTCTGATGTTGCCTGTTGTCGAGACCCTCCATGCTGCCGAGTTGTGAAAGGGTTGTTGAAATTGCCCGACATCCAATCAACCCTGTCGTATTTCAAATCCATGTACTCGATGACGCCTTTCCGGTGGAACCATGACCAACTCGGAACTCGTTTATCTTCCTGGTATGGAATGATTGGCATAGACGATTCTTGACCGCGTTTCCAGAGGAGACCTCGGGCGAAGTAGGTGTCAAATAGACCATATGCCGTCTGAGTTTCCAATGCTCGTGCCAAGCGTGTCTCGAGACCCAGAATAGCTACAGAGCGGTCTGTTGACACTGTTAAATTGAGTCTAGTATACCTCTCGTGTAGGTCTTGTATCAACATCTGCCTCCCATCGCGATAGAATTTAAGGACAGAACTAGGAAAGTTGGCGTCGCTGGTCAAAGCGGCCCTCGGGCTGGAAGATGTCAATCATTCGACTCATGTCTATAGCTGAGCCAATGCAGTCTTTACTTACTTTTCAAGGTGTCCAAGAGTCTCGCAGCACACACCTTCGCCACACTCCCAGTAGACTTGGTTTGACGTAAAGTGAATAGTACGGCGTGAGAGTAGTCTTTCTTGTAGCACCCAACCCCGAGTACTGATCTCAGCAGCATCCACATCTTGGCGAAAGTCATCGATGGCAGGGCAGATCCAGAGCCTACCATCTTTCGTATCTAGATGTACATAGGGACGCGGCGAACGGTCGCTGAGGAAACCATCGAGTGATGACTTAGCTGCTGTGGCACTGATGGTACAGTAAGCGCCACTGAACACTTGTTCCATTTTCCCAGCCTCTTGCTCCCAGTCGATATCATCATCCTGGATGATACACAAAGAGTCTATCCAGAGATATTGTATACCCATTCCTCGAGTGACAACGATGGCATCTCGGAATGTTTTTGGTAGTCGATCAGTGTCGATTTTCGTTCTCAGCTGAGTGATGTTGCGCTTGTAAGTGCAGAACTTCTGATCCTCCGTTAACATCCCCCAACAGTGGCTTAGTGCTATATAATCGGTCGGATCAATAGAGGAAGAATCTAAAAGATGAACGGGTTCTTGGACTGAGATGAGTCGTGTTGGCATTGCCTTGACAATTTGATCTTTCCCAGAGCGACACTTTTCATGCTCCAGGCTGCACACTCGTGCCCATTCCTTCAGAAGTAAGAACTGCCCAGTGCCACCTTGATCTGGGAGTTGGGGAAGGCCCAGTCGCGCCCCGTGGGGTACTGATTGGCCTTGACATCTGATTGTTAGCCGCTACATGGTAGAGACTATAGCGAGATAATGTGCTGACATACCTGGTTCGGAGTAAACCGAGAGGAGATAGGGGGCATCAAGAACACCGATAGCGCCGTCCTTCTGTTGAATGCGAACACCTTCCAGCCATGCAATGCCTTGCTTGTCCAATGCTATCGACAGCATCGAACACAAATCGCAATTTGCTTGGATCTCGACGGGAAGGGTTGAAGAAAATAGCGGCGTCGTGTTAATGCTGCTACATCGAGCACACAAATTGTTTAGAGCTAAGTTTGAATCGGGCCTTACATTATCCCAGCCTACCAAACTGAGAAACTGTGCCGCGAACTGATTGTGCGAAGTACTCTGCCAAACGTCATAAAGTTGGCTCGCTTGCTTTGGCTTCATTAGTAACTAGATCAAAAATTGTAAATAGATGGAAAACTAACAATCTGAGGTTTATTAGTATAGTTGTTGCTTGGCCGTTGTTCACTCATCTTACCGACTGGCTATAGTTAGCATCGTCCGTTCAAAGGAAGGGTTCAGCAGCAATCCTACATTCTGTGCATTGTAAAATATTATTAATGGCATTTTTCAACGGTTTACTTTGCTAGTACTTACATACTGCACAGTTTAGCATTTAGCCTTTAATATCAATGCTTTCTTACGTTTTGGCTATGACGTTCTTGCCTGTGTCGGCCTGTCATGGACCTCGCTTGACTTGGTTGCACTGAGCCATTGCCTTGATAATTGTTATCGATTACGAGCATCTGCTCATAGAGTTTGGATGCCTCGTATCGATGTGCACCTTGGTTGGCATCCGACTGTAAAGAGACCACCAGTAGCCCATTTGTCACGAGTGTCAAGAGATCACTGTATGTTTGGTTTCCCTGGACAGCTTCATGCTTATACAGTTCCTCAATGGATTTTCTCACCTCAGGATGAATCTCATACCTATGAGACTTGTCGTCGCGTTTCCAGAAGTAATCTGTTACCGTTCCGAGTTTGTCAACGGCGTATATGCCTTGGGTGAGCCATATCAGCAGCTCCAGCATAATGCAACCCATTGACCAGATGTCGTACATCCGTGATCGTTCACCAGTCTTATTTTCTGCTGTTTCAGGTGGTTCATATCGCGCTGTTCCTGTCGGAGTCATAGTCTGTATGCCTCTTCGATTTCCAGTGTCTTTAATATGAAAGGCGGCTAGGCCCAAATCAGCGATCTTCAGGGTCCCCAATCCATCCTTATCCCTGTACCAAAGGATATTGTCGGGCTTCAAATCTCCATGCCTACAATTAATCTTATGGAGATCATTGAGTACGGAACAAAGCCCAGTGAACTGTGAGATGATCCATTCAAGATCAACCGTTTTTTCTTGATAGGCTTCCCAAAACTTGTAGAGATCTCCGCCATGTGCCCAAGGGAAGACGAGACATTTTTGGTTCTTGTATTCATAGGCAGCAATTGGCTGTACCAGGTTTGGCGAGTTATGATTCTTTAATCTCTCCAGAGCTGTTGCTTCCTGTTCAAAGAATCTGGCGATTTGATCATGATTATTTGCTGTTTTTACAGCGATAGAGGCAGTTCCCCCGAGAGTTAACTAGAAGTTATTAACTCGATGGCAATGGGTGGAGCCCATAAACAAAAAATTCATATAACAATGGATAAAACATAGTCACTCACTCTAACGTCTTCCGGGATGTGCGATGGGTGAATATCCATGCGAGATACTTCACCAAAAAACCCGCGACCCGATGGATTATAGCTCTTGAGATAAGGCAGAATCGTGTCGGTATGAAGCTTCGATCGAAACTTGTCTTTGCCAAATTCTGGTGATGTCACCATGTGCTGATATTTGCAAAAAAGGGTTCGATCGTTATTGGATGTGAAGATCGAACCAAGTTGGCTTTTCTTGACTGGTAGCGAAGCATCGGTCAATTTTTGCTTTAGGAAATTTGCAAGGAAAGATAGCTTCTCCTTTTCCTCCGACATATATAAGAGGATAAGAAATATGCGCTTAGCCCTGGCAGGCTGGAGGACAAAATTCACAAGGTCTTCCCTATCGTTGAGGCCTGAGGCTTTGAGGGCTAATTCGACAGCATTTCTTCCCAAAAACTGGTCAATTTTGGTGCAAGGGAGGAACTCGGCGTTGTCAAAGTTTTCTTTCAAGTGACTTTCGATTTCTTGGCCGCGGCCTCTAAGATATTCGATGTCGAGCATTATAACGGGAGTAGTGCTATGCAAGCTTGGGGTTGATTCACTCAGAACACAGGTTTTCTTAAATGATAAGAACGGGCGGCTTGCTTGAACTTTCGCCTGAGTTACTAAATGTGACGGGCTGGGCAAAGTATGGATGAGAACCTGATAACTATTTATTTGGCTGGTCGTTGACTCTCACAGGGTAAAGGTATTATTCTCACCGACAATCTAAACCTGCATTGAATCTGGACCAAAGGTGCTGTTATTTCAACCAGCCCGCTTTTAAGCGGTCACATATCATTGGCTTAATGCAAGTTCAAAGGATGATATGATTGCCGCCCAGCGTTTTAGCATAGCCACTCTAAATCGCTTTGCTAATCCTGTTATAGCTACTACGGCGAACCAATAAGATAAAGTATATTTTATTAACTTCAATTTCTACTGAATTTAGAGATTTATATTTAAGTAACTATAAAAGAATGTTTCTATTTTGTTTCTATCTTACCTATTAGTAATTTTTAAAATATACTTTAATTCTATTAAATTAATAGCTATAATTAATACTAATAACTGCAACGTAATATTTAAGTTTTCTAAATAGGTGGATCTGCTATTGCCGCTTTATGGCTACACTAAAGGGTTTATTATACAGTCAGAACACTTAGATTTTGAAGTAGTTCCACGATTACAAGCAGAAGCATGGAGATTATGTTACCGACGACAATGAGATATAAATCCCAATCAATTACTCTCTCGAAGTGAAAATATCACTCCCGTTATCATTTCACTGCACTTAACTTCTCACAATGCGCTCTTATCACCTCCTAGCTCTTTGCGGTATGTTCTCAGTGCATCGCCAACGGTGATCCTTAATAGCTTTTCTCGGGGCTTTTGTTAGTATTTGCCTTGAACAGACAAACTTAAGTCAAAGCCGATATTACGCTGACACTAATCGCGACGGAAAGGCCTTAGCGGCCCACTATCACACAGCTTCTCGCTTATAAGAAGCTGATGAACCTCAACGGGCAATGCGCCAAGAGAATTGACGGCAACATCCGGATCCTCGCTCAAGAATTCTGGCTTACGGACGGGCTATGACACCTGTGTTACGCCTAATCCTTA